TGGCCGGCCACCGCCTCGGTGCCTCGGTCATTCGGAGCTGCAGGGTTCACAGGCTCACAGACCCGATTTGGGGGTTTGGCCTGGGGACGAAAGAGAAGTTTTCTGAACCGAGGGGCCGAGAGGTGGGAGTCGGGCCAGGAGCAATGAAGGGAAAAGAGAAGAGAAGGGGACGTGGGTAGGGGACACCTGGGACTGAGGGGAAGAGAGTCGGGGTGCGGGTGCGCCGGCCAGCAGGGTGAAGCCAGCACTCCGGGTCAGCCGGGGTCGGGGTTGCGACCATGGGACAGGCGGGTCCGCGGCGCAGCGCCGCCTGCTGGCAGTGGCGAGTCCGGCCGGGTTAGGATGCCCGTGCGCCCCGAGCGCCCTCGGGGGCCCGCAAAACCCTCGCCTTGCGCTTCGGGCCAAGCCCCGTGGTGTGCGTCCTCGGGGAAAGTGGGGGCCAGGCCGGGACCCTGTGACCCACTGCACACGGCGTCGGCGCTGCGCACCGTCGGGGAGCTGCTGCCGCGGGCGCCCGGTGCTCGGTTTGTAGGCAGTGTAATTAGCTGATTGTACTCTGACGCTTACAATCACTAACTCCACTGCCATCAAAACAAGGCACAGCATCACTCGCCGCCCGGCCACCGGAGGAGGAGAAGGACAAGGACGCCCGACGCTGCGCTCGGAGGGGAGCTGCGCGCGCACCTGGCCTCGCGTTTGTCGCGGTGGCTGCTCAGCTAACACGCCGCCCAGGGCAGCAAACCCGCAGAAACCCGGGCTGCTTCCTTAAGATACAGTCAGGGCTGGCATCTCAGTGACTGGGGCTAGCAGAGCAAAATGTGTGGGATCTAATGGCATTTTCATCATGAGATTAGTTAAAGGCACTTAAACTGCAAGGAGGAGCCCACTGTACCACGTTTAAAAGTGTATGCTGAGATTCACTATTTAATATTGTAGTATGTCATCGCCCCTCCAGCTGGTTTTCAGACGTAGTTAACTAAAGGTGAGAAGACTGCCTAGCCTTCTCCCGCGAAGTAGCCTGTAGATTTGAACCACATACCTTTGGGTGGCTGCGCGGTTTGTTTTTTTTTTTAACCACTAAACCACCAGAGTTACTATCAATTGTTTAGCCACGGATTTGACTATCACAAATATCTGGGCGCCCCACTTTGAAATTGCAGTTCTCGATAGTAATTACTTTCCTGTGAGTCTAGTTACCAGGCAGTGTAGTTAGCTGATTGCTACTAGTATACCAATCACTAACCACACAGCCAGGTAAAAAGATTTGATAATTCATCCAATGAGCAGTATATGCAACAACAATGTGACTGGGGAGAAAATGATTGGTTTACCCTAATACGGTTGATCAGTAGAGACGGGGGGGGGGGGGGGGGAGAAACTAGCCATGTAAGAGATTAAAACAATAGATATTTGCTGTTAAGTGCCAGCCAGTTGACTTCAATGTCTCACAGCGATCCTATATAAACAATAGATCTGAACCTTGCACTATCCTGCACGGGTCTGACAATCTCTTAAGATATACAGGGAGAATTCCTTCAGGCTATTAACAACAAAACCCAACAAAAAAGTTTAGACACCGTAGCATATTGACAAATAGGGATTTTTCTCCTTCGCTGGTATCTGTCTTGTCATCAACTTTTGAACTCTGTGAAACTGTGATGGTAATACTTTGAAAAAATAAAGTGCCACGAAGACACAAATTACGGTTATTTCTCCGTTATCTATTTCCTTTGCTAAGCTGGCTCTTTGGGGTCCATCTTGGGTCTTATTACAATAATTTTAAAATTCTCTTGCGGAAATGGCTGTTGTCCCTGTCCTCACACACATGTTAATATTTAATAAGGTTACATTAAAGTTTTTCAGGATTTATTTTTCATGAATGAGCTTAATACACTGAGATCATAGTCCTTTTAACACACTTTAACAACTGTTGGCGTTCTAGGCAGATTTTTGTGAACATGATTAGAGGATTGTAGTTTAGATCGAGACCAAGCTTATTTTGTAGATGTAAGGGATATGGAGTGGGGAAACACGAAGGATTCGCAAAACCTATAGCATGGATACCTATGGTGCAGTCCATATTTTCCATATTTCTAACTCTCCCACAGAGTGAGATTTTGGCCATGACACTAAATTCGCCAGCCGAGAATTTCAATTAAGGGAATGTTGTAGCAATCTAGTCTGGGATCAGAAGACTTAGAAAGTGGGGATGTTGAAGTTTGCGGTTCTTTATCTGGAAGAAGAGAGTTTGGGGAGCTGACTGATGGCTAACTTGTTCACCCCTACCCCGGTTGCCACCCCTACAACAGGATAGGACACGCCCCTGTCGTGGTGTGTTGACTGTGCCACGGCAACTCTGAGGCTGCGAAAGCTCCTCGGGAAATGTCTGCTGGCCTCAGGAGCGAGCTCGAGATCTCCCACAAGCGTGCATGCGCGCCATACCCCCTGCTCCCACCAAAGATTGTGCGCTCCCATCTCGGGGGTTCTTCGGGCGTCAGGTTGAGGGAAGGAAGGGGGAAAGAGCTCCGAGAAACGTCCAGAATTACCATGGAGACGCTGTACCCCAGAAATCGCAGCAGCCAAGAGTCCGATGAAACTTTCCCACTGGGATTCCTGGTGTTCGCCAACTCCTCCGAAAAGGACATGACCCTGGCCAAGCAGTTCTGGAGCTCAGCGTCACTGTACCCCCCTAAGGAGTCACAGCTGGTGCTGCCCAGAGGCAGCAGGCAGCGCCTGCCGGTGGCCCGGCCCTCAGGGGGCAGCGTGCCAGGTAAGGCTTAAACCCAGGTGGGTACTGCTTCCACCTCCCCAACTCGGGTCGCGCGATGGCCGAGAGCTAGGCTGCCAACGGCGGTTGGAACCCATTCACGAAGGAAAACGGACAAACTGCTCACATAAAGGCTGCAGACTACAAAGCCCTAAGGGAGGGCCAGTTATCTCAGACCCCCTTTTGTTATGTGCCCTAGAGTCGCTTGCGACTCTTAGCGACCCTATGTACAACAGCCCTAAACCCTGCTCTATCTTGTGCCAATCGCATTGCCTCTGACACACCCATCCCGATT